TCTTCGAAATCAGAAAAATAAAAAAAGGAAACTTTTCCTGTTGTAATTTTCAGGGTTGTAAGGGCTCAGTTTCCTCCTCTTCACATTTAGTATCTTCCCTATCAAATTTAGTGTAACTTTAAAAATGTTCAACTGGCTATCCATATGGAATTATATTACCATCATTAACGAACATCATTTTTTTTTTGTTTCATTCATTTGTAGATTCATCAACATCAACTGTAGGAGAAGCATCAACAACCACCTTACCTTTATTCATATAACCACTCCCATCTACAGGGTCATTATAAGAAGGAACATGGTTGGTTGTCATAGGTAATAAATTATACATTTGGTTACTTATAGCACCAGAAGACCCCTTTCCACTAGAACGATTTTCCCCGACAAATCGATGAATACCACTTTCCATAGCATTACTAAGAACAAACAATTTTACTGTGTTGAGAGGCACACCACTAGTGAAACTAAGAAACTATCTAACATCACTATCGTCTAAAATCTGCATAACTATATTTGATTAGGGACATTGAAAAGATAGACATATTTGTTTAGTGTGTAACATGGGCTTGGAAGCAACCAATGTAATTAACCCAACGAAATTGATATATCTACATCAAAACATGTGTAGTCTGAAGTAATATATTACATAGATCCTTCAATATGTTGCCATTACACTCCACAAGAAACTGGCATTCGAAAAAATCTTGCATACGTGCTCATTTTGGAACGTGTAATGAAGGTATCAAAAACACAAATATGTTGCATATATGAAAATATATGGAAGAAAAACACACAAATACCCTAATTTTAGCTCTACGGAATGTATGACCATTATGGAGTACAATTTGAAATATGGTTTTTCAGCCCGAAATGTACACGATGTCAGATTCTGAACCTAATTCCTACCAACCATCCATATCCGGAACGAAAATAAATGTTCCGAAATACTTTGAGCAATCCAAGTCCGGAATGTTTTATATGCTATTCAGAAGAAAATGGTCATTTCTCAAAAACAAAAAATGATTATTTTTATTAACAAAGTCATTTATTATGGTTAGTTTACTCAAAATTTCATAATATAATAGTATAAAATATAATATAATAGTATAAAATAGAGGTAAAATGGCAATTTGTTTGTAGAGACTTCATAATTAAAGATGTTAAATTTAGGGACCAAACAATTTTGCAATTTAAAACCTTTTTTAGAGCCAAAGAGAAAACGACATGGACCATTTTTGCATACTATTTATTCTAGATTTATGAATTGGTCCTAAATTACAAAATTAGTATAGGTTAAAGGATAATTGTGATATCACGAAAACGAAACAAATGGATATGAAGAATGGCAACGGTTACTGTCAAGGCTGAGAGGAATGAGGCTGAGTTGCCGGCCTCGCCGGCTTTCATGGTTTGTTCCTTTCATGGCGTTTGCTTCAAACGAAGGGAAAAATCTCTCATCTCTGTTCCTTTCAAATATGGACTCCTTTTTTTCTTCAAAACCCCATGTCCAAAACTCTCAACATTATAAATCCCTCTTTCCTTTCGAGTTTTCTTAAAGAAAAGCAAAAATGGTGGGATTCGATGAATTTTGTCAAGAAGGTCTTCTTCTTACTCAACCTGACCCTGTTGTCTTGGAGCTCAACAAACTGCAGAACATGCTCAAAGGTTCATTACTTGACTTTTTTATTCGTTATGTCGACATAATACACTGAAATATTTATCCACAGTAAAAATTGTTTTGTTCACTGCTGTAGTTTTGATAATTTTTTCGAAGTTCAGTGTCGAATAGGGAAAAATGGAATTAGGATTTTATAATAAACAAATCAAGAAAGTAACTTGCTCTTTCTTGAATTTAACCCTTGTTCTTATTCGACGCACAGAAGAATTTGAATTATAAAGACTACATCATCTTCTAATGTTTCTCTCCATTTTGCTTCACAGATAAGGATCGTGAGTTGGGTTTTGCTCAAAGTGAAATCAAAGCACTGAAAGCTGCTGATGTCATGAAGGAGAAATCCCTTGAAGAGGTACACTAAATATCAAGTTAAATATAAACAAAGAATAATTACTTGCAACATAATCCATATACTCTGTTTTTTATCAGATGGGAAATATTATTGAAAAACTCGACAATAAGATCAGAAACACAGAAAACCTTCTTGAGCAAAAGGTGAATAGTAATTTTCTGTTTCGTTTCTATGTGTTACATGGCCCACTAAATTGATTTGAACAATTAAAATATATAGAATTTGGATATCAAGAAACTCGAAACAGAAAAGAAAGAAGCATTTGCTGCTCAATTTGCAGCAGAGGCAACTCTTAGAAGGGTTCATGCAAATCAAAAGGATGACGATTCTGTGCCAATTGAATCCATTATCGCTCCTCTAGAAGCCGATATTAGACTCTACAAACACGAGGTAAACAGAGCTCATATGTCTCTGTTTTTATAATTTTATATATATATATATATATATATATATATATATATATATATATATATATATATATATATATATATATATATATATATATATATATATATATACCTTGATTGTTTGATTTATTATCCATGTTATATCAGATTGCAGTTCTACAGGAAGATAAAAAGATGTTGGAAAGACACACGAAGTCAAAAGAAGCAGCTTTGCTTGAAGCAGAGAGAATTCTGAGAAGTGCTTTGGAAAGAGCTTTGATTGTAGAAGCTGTTCAAAATCAGAACATAGAGTTGCGAAGACAAATCGAGATTTGTCAGGTATTAATTTGCTTTCAATTTGTTGTTTAATGAAATTTTTAGGAAGAATATAGAGAGGCGATTGTTTGATTTGATGCGTAAATGCAGGAGGAAAATAAGATATTGGAGAAAACAAATCGTCAGAAAGTTTTAGAGGTTGAAAAGTTAAGTGAAACCATTAAAGAACTTGAGGAAGCTGTTCTTGCTGGTGGAGCTGCTGCAAATGTAGTTCGTGACTTCAGGCGACAGATTTCTGAACTACAAGTAATAACACTTTTTTTTTTTTTTTTTTGCCCAAAAAATTGCTTTAAGGTAACAAATTATGAAAAAGTAATGATTTTTGTTATGTAGGAGGTGAAAAGAACATTAGAAAGGGAGTTAGCAAGAGCAAATGTTTCAGCCAATCGAGTTGCAACTACAGTGGCTAATGAATGGAAGGATGAGAATGATAAGGTTATGCCTGTAAAGCAATGGCTTGAAGAAAGAAGGCTTCTACAGGCACATATACACTTACCAAACTATTTATTTTACAATTTACATCGCAAATAACAATTTTTGGGTTGTTTTCAATGATGAGAATGAGGAGGGTATTCTCGTCTTTTTGTCTCATTGAAATCGGTCTCAATCCAATGCATGCTAAAAACAGTACATGTGACATATGTCTCAGTCCTTGTCCAATGCATGTCTAACACAGGACAACCTGTTTTGTTATGTCAGAAAGTTTAAATTTAAAAATTTGTCGAACATTATTTTTTTCAGGCAGAAATGCAACGATTAAGGGACAAATTAACAATATCGGAGAGAACAGCCAAGAGTGAAGCACAACTTAAAGAAAAAGTGAAGCTAAGATTTAAGACACTAGAAGATGGATTAAAGCATTCCTCTTGTGGATCACCGAGAGTTGACAAGTCAACTCACTTTTTCGGGATTCTATCAAGTAATGGAGGAAGGAAGAGATCCACTTCACAACCAAGGGCTTCTTCTACAACTTCAAGTGAAGTGAGACGTATGAATAGCATAAATAAGAAATATAATAATTTTGGAGATAATTCGGTAAGGAAAAGTTTATGGGCTTCTAGGAGTAAAGTTGTTGATAGAGATGAAAAGGAGAATAATGAGATGATTCTAGAAAATACTAGTGGGATGAATCTTGATAAGTTTAAGGATGATAATAGAGGTATTGTTGTAAAGGGAAGGGTGGCGGCAAGTGGCAGCAGTGAAGAACGACAACCACGGAGTGCCACCACTGATGATGATGATGTGGTTTCAGGGTTTTTGTATGATAAGCTTCAGAAAGAGGTGATTGGTTTGAGGAAGTTTTGTGAGATGAAGGAAGAAAGCTTGATTGAGAAAGATGAAGAAAACAAGGTTTTTATTCTCTCTTTTCTAAAACTCATTATTATTAGGGTTAAATGCAAGAAATAGCAATATACTTTCACTGAGAGTAAAATGCTATAATACACAAATAAATAAACATACATTCCTATTTCTTGCATTTAGCCCTTCTATTGTTATTACTATTATTGTTATTTTCTACTATTGTTATTATTGTTACTTTATTGTTATTGTTATTGTTATTACAACAACCAATGATTCAGGTGCTAATGAAGAAGGTTGAAAACTTGGTCAAAGCTCTGGAAGTAGAGTCAAAGAAGTGGAAAAGAGAAGCATCCTTAAGAGATAAGAATTCAACATCAATAAAAACAGATGACCAGAAACCAGTCAGAAACTTAAACTCATCGAAAAGGTAGAAAAAAAAAAAACAACCGATTTTCTTTATTTTATAAAATTCGTCTATTAACCGATCTTTCTATTTCCACCATTAGTTTAAGGGCTGCAAAAACATCTTGAAGGCTCACTTATGGAACTCATTTGGACTTCGTAACTTATTGTGATTATTATTATACCTTTTTACGCGTTTCCTTTTTTAATAACATGTGTAAATATTATTTAAACAATTTTAAGGTGTTGTTTTGTAATATAGAGTGAGTTAATTTATGATGATTGGAAATTTGGAATTATATACTTTACATTATGAAATTTCGTTTGTTATTTTTCCAACAACCTTCAAGCTGGTTTACACTGTCCTGCACCAAAAGCATCATATTAAATGTAAATCAGGTAGACAGTGGATTATTAGTGGGCTAGCATAAGAGCCCAATTTATTTTGCTCAAAGAGATAACATGATATATACTTGGAATTGACATAAGACTACAAAAAAAGCACCTAAAGATTAATATTTTCATTTTAAACAAACAAAAATAAAATCTACTCTTGAATAGTAGCCAAAGATGGTTTCCATTTTTGAGATCTAACTCCATTCCAAGAAAATACAGGATTAATTTTGCTGATCTTGAAGTCCTTATTAGCATCTCTAACCAAAAGCTCCAATTGCTTCCTAGTTACAACAATCTTCACTTTTTGTGATTCCTTCTCCTTTTGTGGAATAAGAATATAAACCTCTGCAGGAAGAAGCTTAGCGTTGGGGGGCATTGGTGAGTTCGGGTGGGCGTAGTGCACCAGATTATAACCCTGGTATGGACCATGGGTTATCTTTTTAACTTTAGTTAAGGCCTTAACTTTTTCTTCTCCTCCATTAGACACCAGAACACTGATTTTCTCCTTAGATTGCATACAGTTTATGCAGTTACCCATGGTGGAATTGATCTTAATGTTCAAGACTCTTGAGGACTTGTATGTATATATACATTTATATTCATCATGTATATGTATAAGTCAAGTTAAAGGCAACCAAACGTGCATATCACTTAGGTTTGACTTCAATATGATATAGTTTCTTTAACATATCAATGTCACATGATGGGTTATGTTTAATTTAGTTTGACTTTCGATTTCTCTACATACTTATGTTATTTATTTTTATGAAAAGTCAACCACTAGGTAATTATTCCAATTTTAAATGCAAGAAACCTACAAGTTGACTCCCTTGAAGTAGTCTTTAAAATACATATAAGTCAAACGTAAAGCTGAGTGTTTTTATGTGAATGAAAATAAAACCATTACAAGATTCAAAGAAATTATAATTCAATAGATACAAAAACTCATCACTACAAAAATCTCAAGAGCATGAGCTAAAAAAAGAGGATGAAGAACATTGACTAGTCAAACCACAGCCATTACATTGACACGTCTACCTTCCAACCATGACTTAACAGCAACTTTAGTAGTCAAAAACCATCCAACTTTTTCAGAACTCTCGTGAAAAGGAGCACTTAACTCCTTCAGATGTGACTCAACACCTCCAGCCAATCCTTTTTCAGAATACTTATGCTTCCCATGACCCGTATTAATCCCAAGCAAAGGTGGCAACTCTTCTCCCTCTTCAATAGCTTTGCTCAAATCATTCATCCATATATGTAATGCAGTCAAAGCTGCTCCTAATGAAAGACTCTTCAAATTCAAACACCAATTTGTGCTCGATTTCGTCTGTATATCACTATATATCCCAACCCTAATCCCCAAATCCAACAAGTCACAAGCTTTCTCCAATTGATCAAGATTAATACAAAGATCAATCAAGCAATTGCAATATGCTTTCCTTACATCATCTCCAATGTCACCAAGTATTTCACTAGCTTCATTCTTGAAAGATTCATCTTCGATATTCGAATCAACCAAAAGTGTGACCAAATTCCCAAGTTTTGGATTCGCCTTTTGGATGCATTTAGTAAGCTTATGAAGATCTTGTTTAGGAGTTTGTGTCATGACATTGAGAAGACACCCACAAGAACGTTCATCTGGGGTGATATCAAGCTCTATGATTTTATCAAACATGTTGACCACATCATCTGTTCGGTTGACTTTCCCGTAGCATTGTATTAGAGAAGTCAAAACGTATATATTCGGGTCAAACCCTGCTTCGATCATTTCCTTTAGTGTTGCTTCGGCTTCTTTGACTTTTCCACAACATGAAAAGATTGTGATCAATGATGAAAAGTTCCAACTATCGGGTTGACAATTTGTGGAGATTTTAATGTCATTGAAAATTTCAAGAGCTTCATCGATGAAACCTATGTCAGCACACATAGACAAAAGGGTGTTGTAAAGAACATTGTTTAATTCAAATCCTTTTGATTTCATCTCTTTGTAGACATTTATAGCATCATCTCCATAACGAGATTTTCCATATGCACGAATGAGAGAAGCATATGTTGCCCAACCAGGTGTTAATCCATCACTTAGAATTTGCTGATAGATTGACTTAACAAGCCATGGTCTTTTGGCTCTTCCCATGGCATCTAACAAAGTGTTGTAACAGACTAAGTTAGGTTTAACACCAAGAGCTTTCATTTCCTCAAAAACAGTCAAACACCCATCGAAATTCCCTGTTGACCCGTATATTTTTATGATTGTTGTGAATGTTACAGTGTCAACTCGCCATTTTTCGGTTCTTGAACGATCATATAATCTTAATGCCATGTCTACATTCCCAACTCTCCCATAGCAATCAATCATCACTGCATATGTAACATTATCTGGTTGGATTCCAAACTCTGGCATTCTCTCAAACCACTCTACAGCTTTAGTAGGTAAAGAACGCAACCTTGCACACCCAATAAGAGTTGAAAATGTAACATTATCAGGAGTAATGCCTCTTTGAAGCATTTCAGCGAACAGCTTCTCTGCACCTACCAAATCTTTAGACTTTCGGAAAACTTTCAATGTCACATTGTAAAGAATAGTTTCCCTATTTAAATTACATCTTTCCTGAAAGTATTTGAGCACCATACGTGCTGATTGAGGGTTCGACATGTTGTTGAGAATAATAACACCATCTTGTTCTCCTAGTTTACTGCCTAAATTGCTATTCAGTATGTTAAAGACGTCTTCTTCAGCTGGTAAACATGAATTTAGTGATTCTGCTACATTGATGAGAGAAGAGTACCTTGATTCATACGATTTTTTCCTAAAGTGTGAAGCTTTCGGGTTTTTGGGGTTGACCCAGATATAACTTTTCTTTTTATCATCTGTCACTGGAGATAGAGTTGAAGTTTTAGGATCTAAGTTGTGGGTTACTTCAGAAACTGAGTCTTGTAAAGAAATCTGAGTGATTCGGAGTTGGGGTGTTCTTGATTGAGAAACGATACTGTGATTGAAGCTTCTCTGATTGAAGGAAATGGAAGGGGAAGAGCAGAAGCCGTATGTGTATGCCATTTCTGGATTCTTGAAATCCTTGGGGGGTTTCCGTTGGGGAAAAGCCTTATCGACTTTCCTCAACACACAAGAAGTAAAAGTAGATAACACTTCACTTCGGGGCTAGTCTGGTAATTAACTACTAACTAGTTTGGACTTTGGAGTGAGCCTATGTTAGGTTTTCTAATTTGGACTTTGGAGTGACAAGAGGTAAGTTTTCCAATTTATATCATAGACTCATACTCTTAAATAAGAGATCATTATTAAACAATTATCAAATTATCTATATATCTTATCTTATATATCTAAGATTGTTACTTGGTTGGTTTAATTTTTCGGTTGGTTTAATTTGTTTCGGTTTATTTTTGGTTGGTTTAATTTTTCGGTTGGTTTAATTTGTTTCGGTTTATTTTTGGATGTTGTTAAATAAATATGGATACATTTTATCAAAATTCAACCTAACTATTTATAACTAATTTTTTGGAAAGCAATACATTTTCAACTAATAAAAATAACTAAATAACTAATCATGTTGTCTATATAGTATTGATCTAGCTAGTAATTAACCATTTTTACCAATAAATTAGGAATTGTTCCAAAATAACCCATGAAACCGTAGGTTTTTAAAATCGTCTATTATTTCGTTAATTCGTCTACTGTTTTGTTTTTAGTATAAAAAAAACCATTTTGAAGATATAAAACCGTAGATTTTTTTAAAACCTACGGTTTTCTCTCTATAAAATACGGTTTCTCAAACCGTAGCTTACGGTTTTGCGTTAAACCTATAGTTATTCTTTTTTTTTTTTTTTAATGAAAACTACGGTTTTGGGTTGAAGTCTACAGTTTTGAGTTAAAAAGCTACGGTTTTGTGCATTGTTGACTTGTACACTGTAGGTTTGGTAAGAAAGCTACAGTTTTAATTTATTTTTCGGCTTTTTTCAAAAAAAAAAAGTTATCCCTATATACAAAAACTACTCTTAATCAATAATACGGTAAAATTTTGATTAAAAATGGACGTATCTCGTTGTTCTTCGGATGCTCTATTTAGAGAAAATAGTAGACGATGGAAGAAAAAATGAGGAAAAAATAACCTAAACTGAAAAATAAGATATTATATACTATGGGTCAATGGGCCACAAAACAATAGACCGATCACGAAAGAGTAGTTCATTGAAAGACTAGTTTTCGAAGGTTGACTGTTGTCAACCCTAGCATATCTACTATTTCGTGAGCTAGGTTTGGCTAATGTGTTTTTTTATTAATTTTAAATAGATAATTAGTATATTTGGCTAGATAAATATTTTTCCCGATAGTAAACTTATATGCCCTTTTAGTAATCACAACTTTGTATAATACCAGGAATCCATTTATGACGACAACCCTTCTAACTTCATTCTTTTCTTTTCAAGTAAAAAATGTATCGGGCCATTGAATCTACTGTTTGTATATGTCATCTTGACCCAATACAATTTTTGGGCCAATCCCCCCTTCATGCTTCAATAATAATAATAATAATAATAATAATAATAATATAGTATTGAATCCGAGTTTGCTACATTTTGATCAAAAAAAATTAATATTCCAAAGTTAATCATAACCAAGGCAATCAAATTGGTTTGTCGGTACTAAGTCACTCGACTAACAATTAAAGATTAGTTGGTTTAGGTAGGGATTTGTCGGTGACTAGTCAGGAGCGTATACAACAATATTACTTTTTCAAATAACTTCTATTGAGATAAAACTTCTTCAACGTTTAAAAATTCACCGCCTTTGACAACTTCATTAATTCTCTAGGCAACGATTGATCGTTAAGCAACACGTAACCGATCGCATACCACCTAGGGATTAATCGGGAACTAGGCGAGATTCTTACAACATTGGTCATATCTATATAAAATAAAATTTTGATTTAATTGGTTTTGAGTTATTTGGTTTCGGATCATTTTGTTTGGTTACAATCTTATAAAACTATGATTAATGTGTAATTTAACATTTTAAGGTCTAAGGCCATGTTTGATACGCCTCTTATTGGGTCAAGTAAGAGGTTAGGTCTGATACGGTCCGACTCAGGGTGTTAGATACTGACATTGATACCTCTTACTCGATCCTAAAGCATATGATTGGGTCCTAGAAAAAATAATGCTAAATGAGAAAAAGCCTTAATTGCTCTTATTCCAAAAACATGCTCCTTCTCTTCTTCTTGCCCTAGACGACCACAACATTCCTTTAAAAAACACGACAACATCTCATTCTTCAGCATTGACTCCTCCTACCTTTGGCCTCCTTCTCCAACACCACCCTCCTCTAGCCTCATCACCATCACATCCATCCTCCTCCTCCTATTTCCTCCAATAATTGAAAACACCGGTCCGATCAAGACTATGAAATCGAACTTCTCAATTTCACATTGAACTTATTGAAAACACATGTTATCCTTATAATGATTTTACATATGTGTATGTGTTTCACTAATTAGACTTGTTCATGCTCTAATCAATCCTATATTTTTTATCCTTGTGCTTCATGTGTAATGAACTGAAATATGGTTCATATCATGTTGTAACATCCCGTTTATTAATAAATAGATAGATAAAGATTAATAAATGAATAGTAGCCTAAAAATCCATGATATTTATCGAAGTGTTGATTTCAAGGAGTCAAATGTCATGATTTGGAGTTTTGGGGGTTAAAGTGTAATTTTGGGATTTATTTTGAAAAAAAATTTAGAAGTTAGGGGGTTTTTTGTATCATTCGGACTTATATTGATTAGATTCTTGGGGGCAGGGACTAAAGGGTAACTTCTAGACTTAAATTGAAAATATTTTGAAAGGGAGGGGCTAAAAGTGTCAAAACTGCATAAAAATTGGATGGGCACGGGATTAATCGGTGCCATCATTTTTCCTCCCGTTGGATCATCTAAATCCTAAACCTAGCAAGGACTTCAGCCGCCATCGTCAAGAGCTTCCTCAGTCGTCGCTTTCGTCGCCAAGCTCGTCTGCTGCCTGCTGCCTCGCCATTGTAGCGCCACCACCGCAACTTGCTGTCGGAGACGCTGTGTGCAGCTTGAAGATCGCCGAGGCCGATGAAAGGAAGCCGAGAACGATGAAGCTCAGGCTATGAACGACGGGAAGGCCCTCGGTAAGGTTAACTGTGACTTATCTCTCCCCTCCTTCGTTCTTTTCGGTGATTTGACGCCGTGTGTGACGACTGTGGGTACCGGCGGCCCTTGCACTGCCATTTCTGCTAGTTCCAACGATCACAGCCTCCTAGTCGGTGGTTGTGAGCCTTTGTCTTGTGTTGTTTATGTGCATGGGTTGCTGCCACGAGTTGAATGCGTAAATATGGGTATTATTTGGCTAGAAACCCACTTTCACCACCTCATGGTGGTGGCTGCCATCGTTTTCTGCCGCTACCAGCCACCATGAAGGGTGTGTGTGTGTGTGTTTTTGTGTGTGTGAGCGTGTATTTCATGGGTGCGAAGTGTTGTATGCAATTTTGGTCGGAACCACCATCACCACCATCACCACCATTGAAAATGGTGGTTGTCGCCACCACCACCACTGCCCGAGGTGGCACTTGGTGGTGTCTGGCCTAGTAGAACCCTAACGGACCTAAAAGCTTAATGTTGGATTTGGTTTGCTTGTGTTCGGGTTAGAAACCCTAATTTTGGGTTTGTTGGTTTAGACCAATTGGGACCTGTGTTATGGGCCATTGGAATTGAAATTTGAATTATACCCAATTACACTATATGATTGACCTAGTAGATTGATGGACTTAATAGATTAAGTTCTTAACCCTAATTGTCATTTCATGTGAAAACCCTAATTGTGTTGGGTTTTGAGTGGAGCCTTTCTGTTGGGCCACCCTAATTGTGTTGGGTTTTGAGTGGAGCCTTTCTGTTGGGCCTAGATGTCTGGACTCTTGATGGGCCAACTATTAACAAGTATATGGACTAGAATATTTGGATTGTGCTTTAGGATAAGGCCCATTGAACAGGCAGTGTTGTAAAACTCACCAAGTTAGCCGATTACTCCTCCGAGTACTCGCTACTTGGCCCCTTACCGAGGCGAGTTACAGATGCCCGAGCACTTCCCAATCGGTCCCTTACTGATTTGGAAAATTAGGCTATAATTGGGCCTTGGATGATTATTTGACTTTTGGGCTTTATTTGGTTGTCAAACCAACAAATAATGGGATAAAATAATATTAATAAAGCTCAAATCACTGTTATCTCATATACTAAAGATACTATAGAGTAAGCAAGATCGGTCAACAGGAATACAGGACTTCTTAGCTTGCCATATTTTCACACAATATATAAATAATATTAAAATAGGGATTGTGTTTGAACTTGAATTAAACTTCATAAATAAAACAAGATTGATAACAAAACGCAGTAAAAGAAGTACATTTTCGATTCTGACTCTTATACATATATTGTGTTGAAAGATGTAATATGATTATAACTCATGTTCAATCTAGGTTGGTAAGTTGGATATTAATAAACTCTAATATTCAAATTGGTAAAAGTATTCTATTCAAAACAAGCTCTTCAAATAAAACTTTATTTAATTGATTCAATTCAAATAAGCTCTTGCATCAAATCATTAAATGACATTAAGTTCTTGCACTAATTACCAACAATGTTTAACATTCCTCTTAAACTTGGGAATATAAACATTTAATCTTTGATTGCACTAATTTTGATCTAATTACAACCAAGTAAGTGTGTGTTACTAACATCAAATCATAAAACATATACGAATTTCATAATTTGATTAAGTAGATTGATTAGAACCATAATTCATTGATCAAGTGAAAAAGAGAACCAACCAATGATTAAGATCAAATCAAAGATTACTAGATGTTAAACATAAGTCAAATTCAAGTTACAACCTAACAACACATACTTAAGAATTCAGATTTGGAAATGATAATGAAATCAGCCACACATGTCTAGGTTGAACTACAAATCAAACAAGTTTAAACTTCAAATTGACTTACAAAAAGGAAATTAAAGT